AGTGCCCGGAAGAGAGGAAACCTAGGAGCATAGGAAGCGCCTCTACGCCATGGAAAAGGAAGAAATTATCAGAAAACACCGAGGCTTCTGTGGCTGTCTTTCAAGGGCAAGAATAAATGCGCTGAACTATCCTTGAAGGCACAAATAACTGGGCGGCCGAACGCCGTCACAGCGACTGTTGTTTTCCGGGCTGACACTGGGCTGCTGCTTTCTCCTTTTTACTTTCAGGCTAATAATTAGATTTAAATCCCCGACAGGACTTCTCCATCACCTCAGGGGTTCTAAATTTCTTTACTATTGCTTGCAAAGACTTCATTTTTAAAAAGCCCCTTTAAACTCTAAGTAAGTTACACTAGCAACAGCTTTTTAAAAAAAATCGATTATCTTATTGAGTCTTTTGAAGAACAAATGCTGCTCTCTCCTCTTAACCTTGAGAGGCCAACCCTTATTTTTATCTCCAATTTGAAGAATAAAAATGCTCTGGAGGACGAGCGAAGGGAAACTCATAAAATGTGGTTTCCACCAGCGCTGGCGTCACTGCCAGCTGGATTTGGTCGGCCCTCAGAATGTGTTGAATCAGGAATTTCATTTCGGTTTTGATTAAAAAAATTTTTGGGGGGGCCGGGCGCGGTGGCTCAAGCCTGTAATCCCAGCACTTTGGGAGGCCGAGGCGGGTGGATTACGAGGTCGAGAGATCGAGACCATCCCAGTCAACAAGGTGAAACCCCGTCTCTACTAAAAATACAAAAAATTAGCTGGGCATGGTGGCACGTGCCTGTAATCCCAGCTACTCAGGAGGCTGAGGCAGGAGAATTGCCTGAACCCAGGAGGCGGAGGTTGCGGTGAGCCGAGATCGCGCCATTGCACTCCAGCCTGGGTAACAAGAGCGAAACTCCGTCTCAAAAAAAAAAAAAAAAATTGTACATATCATGAACATTATTATGATGGCTTTGCTTCTCAGGGGTGGGGGAGAAAGAGCTGTTCTTTATGTGAGTCAATGACGCTCTTGACCTCTGTGGCGGATTGCTCTGAGCAAGGCAGTTAGAGGCAAAATTTTGCAGAGAGCATTTTACCTATCACGGCCCTGCTCCTCTTGGACACCCATGAGGGCGAGTGCATGCACCTGGCTGTGGCCATGGAAAGCCGCTTTTCTCAGTGTGAAGACGCCTGGCCCAACGGGGTGACTTCAAGGCCTTTGAGGAACAAGATGGAGTCATATAAATAAATAAGTTAACTGGCTCGCTCAGGTGAGGACACATGGGCTACCTGGCCTCATTAGCACGGTTAAAGCAACAGAGTGGCCTCCCTGGAGGCTCTGTCACCCACGAAACATCTGTTCTGGAGCCTTTCTGTCCCCTTATGACTGCTCTGGAGAATCCCAGTTGCTTCTGAGGAGAAGGTGGAGACCCTGTTGGTCTCTGTGCCGAGTCTGATCTATCCGCACAAGAAAGAGAATTGATTCTACCGAGAAGGGCCAAAGACGAGCCGTGGTAAATTAGTCCAGCCAAGCCTATTTGCTGAAGGTTCTTCTGGGAGAATATATTTAATACTTTTCCAGAGACATAAAAATAATACAAGCATATTTAGTTTTACTAAATATGATGTGTTTGTAAAAACTAAAAAAAAATTTTCTTGGCGTAACTTCAAGCATAATTCTTTTAGGTAATCAATAAATGCCCCATCTTCTATCATCATCAGCTTGTAATTTTCTGACAACTTTCCTTGAACAGAAACGAGAAAAACTATCTTTGTTGATGCTTTCAAACATATTCTTGCATAGGATCCTTGAATCTTTTCTGTTCCATGTCGTAATAGTTGTTAGCAGACAATTCTCATTGATAGCTAGGCATATAGCTAAAGACATGAAGAGATACGGGCTCTACTGAATCCATGATAATCAAATTTAAAAATTTAAAAATCCAAGATACCAACTCGACTTTAAGAAGTGAACGCTTGATAACATTGCATTAAAGAAAGGTTAATTCGGGTTACCAAATATGTACAATTGCACAAGTGATGCTTACAAACATCACATTCTAAAAATGTTTGGTTGATCTGGGGAAGGAAACTCCCTGGAGAATAAGGAGCATTTCCTAGAATGAGCTGCCTGGGAGGCAGCGGCTGCAGGCAGGCACCACGGGCTCTCGTCCCAGGTGGTGGGGCTGTGAGTTCTGCAACTGCTGGGGGAGGAGCCTGCAACGGCAGGGAGAGCGAACGTTCCAGTTGGTCCAGTTAGTGTGCCGGAGATGTACTTCCCCACAGAATCGGTGACGTATATGATGACTGCCAGAGACACAGGAGTTCACTCTGCCACAGTGCAGCTTTAACTACAACACCTTCCACAAACAATACTTATAATAAAAATGCGTTAAAAAAGAGAGCTCCATGAAAGACACACTCCATGCTTTGTTATTTTATTATTATTATTTTGAGACGTTCTCTTTCGCCAGGCCGGAGTGCAGTGGCACGATCTTGGCTCACTGCAACCTCCGCCTTCCCAGTTAAAGCAATTCTCCTGCTTCAGCCTCCCAAGTAGCTGGGACTACAGGCACGTGCCACCACTCCCGGCTAGCTTTTTGTATTTGAGACGGGGTTTCACCATATTGGCCAGGATGGTCTTGATCTCCTGACCTTCTGATCCACCTACCACGGTCTCCCAAAGTGCTGGGATTACAGGTGTGAGCCACCATGCCCGGCCAGCTTTGTTATTTTAATTATTATTATTTTTTGAGACAGGGTCTCACTCTGTCTCCCAGGCTGGAGTGCAGTGGTGTAATCATGGCTTCTCTGTTCAGGGCTCAAGTGATCCTTCCACCTCAGCCTCCCAAATAGATGAGGTTACAGGTGCCCACCAGCACACCCAGATAATTTTTGTGTTTTTTGTACAGACAGGGTTTTGCCACGTTGCCCAAGTTGGCCTCAAATTCCTGGCCTCAAGCCATCCACCCGCCTCAGCCTCCCAAAGTTCTGAGATTACAGGTGTGAGACAATGTCCATCCTGTGTTATAAACAATACATTTAAATTTTTCAAACCATCCATTTGTTTAGAAAGTCAAATCACTTACAGGCTGTTAGTTTAATCTTGAAGAATTTCTTAGGCAACCCAAAGAAAATTAGGAAGCAACATTATAGTTTTGTTTTTTTATTAAGGGAGTTCTATGATCAGATAAGATTATTTTAAGTACACTGTAGAGGCTTCCAGAAAGTCTAATACTATGCATGGTGGTATACAGTCTGTTCATTAAGTGAGCAATGGCGGCAGGTTTACAGTCTGGTGTCAAAACTGACATCAGATTGCCTTCTTTAGACTTCCAAATCACTTCTCTCCAAATCGGACTTCTTACCAAGCATTTATCATCTTCCAAAAAAATATATCTTGTCTTTCACAACGGGCTATCATCAGAGCTGAAAAGTTGCTACCTTCTAGTCAAATGATTAAATAAATACTTGCTAAGTAGAGTTCTAACCATTAAGTCTACTATCCTATGCAGTCACAGATACATAAAATAACCAGGCCAGTTATCCATAACGTAGGGGTAAATACTTCATTTCCCTCTGATTTGGTGAATGAGTACTTAGTATAAAGCTTACAAAAAATAAAGATTACTTCTAACGCCAAACGCTGCCCATTGTGCTTCAATCTCTGAGCCACTGGTAAAATCACGTCTCACCTGGATGGTGTTACCATATCCATTATTTCCTAAAGCTATCAAAGCTAAAGCCTTCAGGTGGAAAGGTGCTGCACAAAAATGAAATTGTTGCATTTGGAAGCCTATTCCTCCGTGGGAGTTCAATCAGGTTGAGTACAGTTCTGTGCTGCTCAGAGCAGCTTCCAGTGCAGGAGGCAGGCCATTAAATGCTTTCTGAACTTCATTAGTTACCCCTGCTGAGATTGAAAAGTCCTCATAAGTGCATAAAATTTAAATTGCCTATGAGGTAAGAAATGAGATGGTATTTTGCTGCCAAATACTATTTTCCATTCAAATGGTCTACAATCACACGTACAATGCAGAATCACGGAATACAGAACTGAAGGAATGAAGTGTTGACTAGTAATACTGTGCCCCAAATCAAATGACATCACATGACCCCCAGAGTTTGCTTCAGGTGAACTTCCCCTCTACCTGGCACCTCCAGCCAGGTACACGTGCTCAGCTGGAGCCCACCGCCTCCACTCGTCTAGACTCAGGAGTCAGCCAGGTCAGTTCAGAGCACCAGAGATGCCTGGCCGCAGTGACTGAATGCGGCATGTGACTCAGTCAGAGCATCGAGGTGCAACCCAGGGCGGACAGGACTATTAAGAGAGAGACATGCGCTCTTTTTCACCCCTCCAATCTCCCTGAACCTGGGAGAAAATGGGTTTGGGACCGCAGCTGGCCGTTTGCCATCACAAGAAACCTGGCAGAGTAAAGCCACATGAAGGACAGTAAATCTGAGAGCTGCCAAGACATTGTGTCCTTTACACTGTTCGGGGGCCCAGAATCCAGTTGTGTCTTAATTTTCAGGTTACACTGGCCAATAGATCCCATTTTTCTTAGATTTAAGTTTTCCATCACTTGTGATCAAAATAGTCCTAACTGATCATTAAAATGGAGAACCATACATTTCAGTCTTGAAGAGGCTTATCTCATTCTACAGGTAAAGACAGACACTGAAATGCAGGGAAGATGCTTCCTAGGTCCTCTGCTAGCTGCAGTGTACCCAGGACTAGCACCCGGGTCTCCTGCTTTCTCATGTGACGTTTGCACCGCACCATGGAAAAAATTAATTAAAAAATAATTATGAAACACATTGGACTGGTTTAAAACTTTTAATTAAAACTCTGCTCTAATTAAAAGCTTATTGGGTATTATACTCAAAAAATTCATAATTAATATTTTAAATCATTCTTTACATTGTTACCTAGAATATGAGCAACTTAAAAATACATTAATAAATGAAATTTTTTCAGAAATGTGCTTGTGGTCTGCTGTAGCAGCAATAGAAATAGCCCAACAAAATAGCTTAAAATGTTTTATTAAGTATATATAATATTACAGGGTAATATTTACAAAGTTATGTTTCTTTAAATAAAAAAGTACCTTGGCAAAGATTGCAGATATTCAAAGCTTCAAACAGTGATAAATTGATTTAATACATATAAAAAAAAAAACCTTTAACGGTAACACAGCTGTAAAACAACTTTGGTCTTCAAATCACTGCAAAAAAATGGCTACTGACAAATAGTACACCTTTAATTGCTATGCAAAAAAGCTCTCAATAGAGGATCTTGCACATAGCAACACTGGAGTTCTCTTTATTTAGAATGGTTACTAGATAAGTATACAATGTGGGATCTAATTCTCAACAATGGCTTTTTGTAAATAATGCTCCATTTAATAAAAACAAAATGTTTTCTTCTCTCACCAGCCATGGTAACATCAATTTTAAGATTTAAGATGTTATCTTACAGAAAAGCTTAGTACAAAGGCTGTCTTTGTTTCAAAAGGAGAAATTTACGAGAAAGCTGGTCTTCAATGATCATAATTAAGAGCTGTCAAAGCTAAAGGCAGAAAAACTTCCTGCTCACTCACTGCTCATCTCTTCAAAGTTACCTGGAGAATCCCTAGTAGTCAATGAAAATGACTTAACAAAGGACCCCCAGCGGGTGATGGCAGTTAGTAATTTAAAATATGACACAAGTAAAACTGTTTATAAAAGAAACCCTCAACCAAATAAAATACAATGAAAGATAAACAATTGCCCGACAATCATTTCTCCAGTTTCCAACAACAGGTAAATTAGGAGTATGTGTTTCCATACATACGCCACAGATGCCCCTTTTTGAATACCCATTTTAAGACAAGAGAAACCTAGAAGGTTGATTAGAGCTTATTACTGAGATGGAGAAGTAAGCTTATCATCTTTTGAGCTTTGTTAATGAAAGTAACAATTTGGTGGTCACTTACTAAATTGACTATAGCATCCTGAAAAAAAGAAATACTTCCAATTTCAGGATAGCCCCGCTATTTTAATTCTGACATTCTTAGGGATTTAAACAGAATGGACCTGGAGTTTCCAGGAGAAAAATCATTACCTCTGAATGTTTTTAGAGCATGTGAAATTTGTCAAAGAAAAGAAAATTCACGCTCACCCTATTAAAAAGCGATAAATCTAAATGCACCTAACTCTCAATCATCTGTAACTTATGTACCTAGCGTCTGATGTATGCAAAACACTGCAGGAAGAGAGAACGGAACAAAGAAACCCTCTAGCTACTGAAGAAATTTTAAAATCAAGGGAGAGGAGCAAGACCAAAAAACCAATAGAACTAAGCAGAGATACATCGTTCTATTTCCTATAAACTACAGGAAAGGTAAATGAAGAGATGAAAGAGCAGCTACACAGACGGAGAGAGACTGCCAAGGAGAGCTGGGGGAAGGGGCTGCAGGGCCAGAGAATGTTTTGAAGGAGTAGACAAATTGAATTTTGCAAAAGTGGCTGGAAAGGTTGCTGCAGAAAAGGACAAATGGTGTCACTATGAGAACAGACAATAAATAAAACTGAATGAAAAGAGTCGACAGCAGAAACTGGGATCAGGGAGTAAAAAGCATATTGTGGGACAAAACAGGTACATGATGCTCAAATGCTCAAAACATTGTCTGCATTTAAATGGGATGTGATGAAATTTGGGAGCTATTACGAATCTGAGTTAAAGAGAAGGAACTGGCCCAGTGATGCCCAAGCAGGAGGACTCCTGCTGCTGTGGTCCCTTATCCAGAGAAGCTGACAACTAGTGATGCAAGAGTTGATTTTATCTGGCATTTCCTCCGCTACCTCTGGTGGCATTGTCTAGGGCAGTGAATGCCTCCAACGGCAGGCAGCATTGAAGAGAATACAACGGATGGATGAGATCCAAGAGTGAACCCCAAATTAATAAGAGTTTACTACATATTAAAAGGTACAACTTTAGTTTACAAAACATTTTATTATAAAGATTTTCATACCTTTCCTGATAGGAGTTTGGCTCTTTTTCAAGTCCATCTGCTTTCCCCCCGTACCTCCGCTTTCATTGCAACTGATTTTTAAGGTAACAAACTACGTTAGGAAAATGTAACTATTTTCAGAAGGAAAAAGTGCAGCAGGAGCCATCGGATTTGTATAAAGGAATACAGCTCCCTCTATATATGCTAATATTTTGGACAGCTACACAATCAGGGAAGAACATATATATACGTACATAGAGATATACGTATATATTTGTGTATACATAATTTTTTTTTTTTTTTCAGGAAAAGCTGTCTTGCTAGTATGTTCAGTTTTCTGAGAGGCCTAAGCAGGTCATAAATTTAGGTTTGCCATGGGCAAACTACTTGGTCCCAACATGAAATATGACAATAATTTGGCATAAAAGAGGCACACAGGAACATCTGATGGACTAAGAAATACTATTATTAATGCAACTACAAATATTAATATCTTATTACACAAACAGGAAGAATTACGTAGTTTTACAGGGTATTGGTGAGCAGTCAAAAAGCGTGGCGAATTACCTAGAAGTTTTAAAAGTTTTAAGTGATCAAATATTTGCATCAAATATAATTGCACCCAATAAAGAACTTTGTATTTAAATGTTTTTACTAAAAGCACAAAATTAACCTTTGCTCTCCTGTAGGTACCCCACCTTTGTCCATACAGAAGATGCATGTGCCTATCTCATACGTATGCACATACAAACACACACCCACAAACAGGTAAAAAACGAGTGCTAAAAGTCTAAAAGTACTCCAGGCGATCACAACTGTCAGAACGTTAATTTTCTTCTAACCGGGAGAGGAAATGTGGGTTCTGTTTACTTTTCAATCATAGGGAAGGGGAGTACGAGGCAGGACTACAGGAGGAAGGTGATGAGCGTTTATCATGCAACATAGATACAACAGTAATAAACCCCGTTCAAGGGCTGGCCTTTGGGCCTGATGGTGACACACACTTTGTTGCCATGCAGGAGACTCATAGTTCAAATTTCAATCTTGCTTTTTCATGCCCCAGATCAGAAAAGAAGTGAAGAAACACTGTAGATTTTTGCCTTCAAACCAGAGGAAGGGAATACATATGTTACAACCATAGCTATTTTTGCTGAAAAGTGTGAACACAGTGCTCTGAGAACAAGTCTGGCTCCTTCCTGCAACTGGTGCTACCGTGTCACTAGACCATGTTCAAAGAGGAGAAAAGGTGCTACATCTTGTACAGCAGAAGCAAGGAACAGCAGGATAAGACAGGGCTTCAAGGGGTTATGTGAATAAAAGGAAAACATATCCATCAATAAAGGTACCTGAAATCTGGGAAGGACCCGTTACACTGTTTGCTGAAGGGGAAATGTGTGAATGGCAACCCCCAAGAATGAGGACCACTATCTCCATCAATATCACATCACACGGAGATGGTATACAAGATGCTCCCAACCAAATTCCTGCCTGTACTTAACTTATTATTCCCTTGACCCAGAAGTGGCAGAGGCATCTCAGCTAATGCCGTAACTGCCCAAAGCTGCTGTGAACCTGAGTTGGCAAAGGTTTGATGGAAGCCACAGGTATCTCTGGGTAATCACCAGGGAAGTGCTAAGTAATTATCACCCTGAGCCAATTTAAACTGGTTACCTAGAGGCCAGAGGCCCTAGGACCTGAAAGGCATCATTCTTGGAAACTGTCCATTCTACTTTTGCCCCTAATAAAAATGATAACAAAAACTGGATCTCAATTGGGCACACAACATAGATCATAATTCTTTTATTAACTAAATTACAGCTGCTTTGAATAAAAACTTAACTAACAATCACGTAAGGGTCTCATATGTGACAACCAGTTACTTTTCTTGTTTCTTCTTCCCAACAGTGAATCATCAAGGCCATGGTGCTTAAACACAAGTGTATTCCTTTCACGTCTTACTACTCTCCAAATCAGAGTCCACACTTCAGTTCAGTTATTCTGGAAAATTGAAAAATGAACACACAATCACTGTTTGTGTCTATTTTCTATCCATTAAAAAGCTGATGCATTAAAAAAAAAATAGTTTCAGATATACAGTACCTAAAAATTAAGAAAATACATCTGCAAAGGTCAGAGATATCAACCAGGCAAATCACTAGCCTTTTTAATTTCTGTAAGAAAAAGGCCAGTGCTAAATGAAAGTAAAAAATCAACACAGTCTGATAATCTCTGTTTGCTGGGTTGGCTGAGGAAAAGCCAGGAGATGTTGATTTTTCAAAGCAAAAAGACATTGATCCTAGAATAATATTCTATCATATTCACTTTGGATCTCCACCATTCATTTAATGTAAGTAAAATAAACATCTGATCAGCAGTAGATGAAAGGGAAAAATGGTACTGACTCTGATCCCTAGGAAAGCACCTTGAACCTCGTTCACTGACAAGGCAGACACACTGTGAGCAATGGGCAGCTGTCAGTGGGAAGTACCCACCAGACAGACATTTTGAAAACAAATTCTGATCAGCTGAATATTAGCAAAATTAAGGGAATCTCGCAGATCATTGTCGATTTCATCGCAAATATTCGACGGAAGACTGTTTTACACTATTTCTGGATGCAGGAGTTCAAAAAAGTCATGTCTTAAGAGAAATTAACAAAGGAAGAGGCACTCAAGATTTTGAGACTGCTTTCCTGAAAATGGAGAAAAGTTTAGTTTCTTCATACAACTACAGAACAAGGACAGCAATAAGGAAAAGGAAAGGACACTGCAATAAAATCATAGAGGACATCAGAATGTGACCACGTAGGACAAGCCATGCCATGCCACAGTTCCGGGAACAAACCACACCACAATTCCTGGTACCAGTTCTTTTTTTTTTTTTTTTTTTTTAACGTCTTGTAATTTATTCCTGTGAACTATAGAGTTCTTAGGAGGCTAATGGTTTATATAACAAACATGCTTTTAAAGGCTGTGACACAAACATACAAAAGCGGGATCACTCTGTGACACCATGTTGAATATACATTGTTTTAAACTTTGTTCACCAATGCATGTTTGGAGTGTTTTTAATCTTATGCAAATGTTAATGGCACTTGGGGGAATATAGCTTCCTGAGTTAAATGCTGCACTTTGCTACAGAAGTGGGCAGGTAAGGTCACAGACTTTAAAACAGCAAAATACAAAGCAAACTATGTACATGACTGAAGAATGATTATAAATGTCAAATGTAAGAAGAAATTTTTGATAAGATAAAAACATATAGTTACTAAACCCCAACAAAACTGAGGGATCATAGTATGTTAAGGTAAAACCAAAATGAATGCTTGCAGCACTCAATATCTCAAACCTATGTATCTTTAAGAACAAATATGTCTTTGAAATACTCAGTAAAGATTAAAAGTTGATAGCCCAGAGTCCTTATATATATACCAAAAAAAAGCAAAAGCTGAGGATGAAACACCTCTCTCTCTCTCTCTCTCTCACCATCTCCCAAAAGGTTAGAGCCAAGCTCCTGGTTGGAAAAGCGTCCCCATGGGTTAAATGCAACAAAATCACCAACACAAGCATAAAAGAAACTCCATCTAAATGATAAAGATTTGTGCCAGATTGTTTATCTGTCTTATAAAAGGCATTTTAAAGTTATAGTCACCAGGCACTGAATCTGAAAAACATTTTACAAAAAGTGGCAATTTCTCTTTGCTGGGAGCCATATGACTGAAGCCTGATTTGTGATACCCTATAGCTTTTATAGTAGTAGTTTTGCAATTTTTAGCAAAGTACATTTAAGTTTTATACATCAAGAAATGAGAACCTTTATCATTTCATAGTGTTCCTTTTACTAAAAAAGAGCCACATTTTCAAGAAGCTTTTTTGTTTTCCAGTGTCAATGTTTTAACCGATCTAAAATTATTAAGTGCATTTTATACTTACCATCATTCATCATTCCTTTTGATTCTTTAAATGCTAGAAATTAGTAACAAGCCAAGCAGGCAGTTAGTAAGGTTCCACAGTTAGAAATCATTTCTAAATAAACAAGTACGCAATGATGCGCTAACTAGTCTACAACTCTACAGCCAAATCAATTGTAAAGCTATCATTTTACTATATAGCCTTTCTGTGGATCATACCGACAGCATTCACAAAGCAAATAGACTCAGTTGGGAAATCAGATCTAGGTTTACAAAGAAAGAAAGTGAGATGTTTTGATCTTACTCTGTGGCAACAGCCTGTATCTTCTAAAATTTGTAGATCAGAAATTGGAAGTAACTGGGATCCTTCTCTACTAAGGGGTGTCATGCTTCATCTCAGCCAGTTACCAAAGGGCAACGATTCCCTTGCCCCAATATCACTTGGTTAAGGTAAGCAGCTATTTAGACACAGAACAGTTCATATTTCCCACAGGTGAGAATATTATAAAAGCAGTACTCGTAATTCTTGTTGAATAATCAAGAGTAGAGATGTCAAGGCAGGAAGAAACAAGAAAAAAACCTAGATTCTTCCTAAGGCATAGATGGGGCCTTCTAACTAGACTGTGGGCAAGTTCAAATTATGATCTGGTAAGGGATTAAGAGTGAAACAACCACATACCATTAAGGGGTTCCTCTACAGCTTTCTGAAAAATATTTAAAATATATTTACATAGAAATATAATTTATGTTATATCCTTTTATACTAAAACTTATATAGGCTAATATTTAAACTATGTAGCACGCAGTAAATCCTACAGCCACAAACAAACAAACGAAAACTAAATAAGGCTATAAATGTTAAAGCAAAGCTTTCCAAGTCTGGTTAATAGTTTAATAATAACTGTATTATTCTCTTAAATTTTTTTTTTCTAAACAGAATTTCCCACTTCATCCCTCTCAGCCCAAGGAAGTCTAACTTCTAAAAATATTCAAGTACAAGCATAAATAGCGACAACAAAATAAGTAATACAGTGAAGAGGTGGGAGTAAAACAGAATCATCTTTCAGCCTCGCAAGTTGAACTCAGTAACCAGGAAAGAAAACGTGTTGGGATTTACGGGTCCAGCTGAGTTGCTGGCCTCTTGTGACCAATGTGGCTATGGCGCTAATGTTTCTAGAATATACCCCTGTTGTAGACATACATGCCCATCCCGCCTGCCCTTCAGGCACACTGAGGCTTGTCAGGCTTAGAAGCGTATGTGGCCTCCACCTCCTGCCACAGACATGAGACTCTCTTTGACATTCCAGATAAATCTATCATCACTCCATTATAGGAAGCTAAGTACAATATAATCCTTTTCCAGAGCTTATCTCCCCAAAATAGCTCTTGGGCCTGTCCCCGTGATAAGTCTATGTTTATAAATATGTTTTTCTCTTCATTTATGCCCTCTTAAAATTACTCCTTTCTTGGAATTTTCTCAGATGGTTTAATAAGGTATCTAAGGTACAGTGAAAACTTAAGCACAGTTTTAAGGAAAAAAAATGTTGATAAAACATTTGTATGGGAGGGGATCGAATCACTACTCCGAATAGATGTTTTCAGCAATATTTACATTTATTTTATAGATTATAATTTTTAATGAACTCAATTTAATATAAATTTCGCCTCCTCATTTTTATTCTTGAAGTTGTCATTCTGTGTATGCACATTCAATGACTCTAACCGATGTGATATATTGGAATCAGCTTCCTTCTGATTGCAGAGATAATATAGCTATTATTCCCGCTTTCCAGTTCTGGGTGTGAGAAGTCAGTACAATCTTAAGAAATCATTTATTCCATCGCATTGATACTAAAATGACCAAACACAGGTTTCAAAACAGAAATGGACCCATTCATGCAATGGTCATGCAATGACTTCAACATTCTCTTCATTGATGTGACATTAAATAGATTGCAAAATATCTCAATTACCAATTTCTCAATATAATCCCTCAAATGATCATTCACAATTCATTTAATATGCTTTAACTTACCCTAGGAGGTTGTATAGTCTTCTGATTGGAAGCTGATATAAATAACAAATAAGAATATAAATTTAATAAATGAAATAAACTAAGGCAATGGGTAATGTTTAATTTTAAGATAAAATGTTCAGGGCTAAAACTAAAGGTGCCAGAGATGTTGGTGTAAGAGTTCCAGCTCTGATAATCTATTCAAACATGGTGAATCTTCCTGATTATATACACTGATTTGAAAAATGAAGCAAATAACCCACCTACATCAAATAATAAACACATTCTCTCGTTTGTTCATGCCGTCTTCCCCCTAATCAGCCACTTGTTACACTGCTTGGTAGGAAAATGCTGTCATCGACGTAACCCTACCATGGGCTCTCCATCCGCCTTCCTCTAGCTAGCCAGAGTCTGGACAGAATGTGCTAGAACTTGTCCCCCCTACTCCATCTCCCTTAGCTCACTGCTCCTGTTTCTTACAGCTCAGTCTCTCTCTGCACACCACCCCCTGGGTCTTTCCAGTTTCAAAGCTCCAAATAGCTAATAAACTAAAGAAAATATTCAGATAGTTCAGAGTATTCCTCTACGTGTTTCTTCTTAGCTTTCTGAGTTGCCTTTTTCACTGCTTCTAAATGGATGCATTAATGAAGATGAAGGAATATAGGACATGAAAAAAAGTGACAAAAGGGAAAAGAATACTCTAGTTGGGTAGGAAAGAAGAGGTATCTTCCTTATAAAAAACAAATGAGAAGGCTGGCCGTGGTGGCTCACGCTTGTAATCCCAGCACTTTGGGAGGCCACGGCACGTGGATTTCTTGAGCTCAGGAGTTCGATACCAGCCTGGGAAACACGATGAAACCTTGTCTCTCCCAAAAATACAAAACTTAGCTGGTGTGGTGGTCATACCTGTAGCCCCAGCTACTTGGGAGGCTGAGGTGGGAGGACCACCCTCTAACTGGGAGGCAGAGGCTGCAGTGAGCTGGGGTTGTGCCACTGCACTCCATCCTGGGTGACAGAAGGAGACTCTATCTCAAAAAAAAAAAAAAAAAAAACCTCAAGAAAACAAATGAGGAGGCTGCAAGCAGCTAAAGCAAGTCCTAAATACGGAATCATATTCCTACAGATGGAAAAGGTAGAACAGAAGCATTCCATGAAGCACTGGGCTGGAGGGGGATCCTACTGAACAGAGAGGTCCACTCCCCTGAGAGCTGGACTAGATGACAGCACTGGCTTTTCTCAGCAGCAGATGGGGGCCCGCCTCCAGGACTGCTCTGTGTTCCTTACTATTTATTCACCACCACTGCACACCCGCACTCTGTCAAGCTTCCAAAGCTGGCAGGGAAAAGGGTGGGTCCTGACCCAAGGAAAGCCGGTCTGTGCACTAGCCAAAAGCTAGTGAGTCTTTCTCAAACAGGAAAAATGGCAACGGACTGGACTGACAGGTTTCTCCCTGCCACTGGACTCTAAGGAGAAACAGAAAAAAAGACCAGAAAGTTGGCGGTGGGAAGGGAAAGTGAAAACGGAACAGAAAGGCAGCAAGGACGAGCTCAAAGCTGTGGGTGAGAAAAGTGGTCTGTGAGAAGACAGGAATAGGATAAAAAATAGGGGCGCAAAGGAGAGGAGGCGCTAACTAGCTAATAGGCAAAGAATCCAAGACCGAAGAACTCAGTAACTATAACTGACAGGAGCATCATCTTACTCTTGCTGCTGAGAGGGCCACATGATGCTTCAGTTCTTAGAGATGGAACGGATCCTTCCAGTGCCTAGACTATATACTGTCCCATTCCTGTGAGGCCATGTTACCTATCTGAGCTCATAGGAGTCCGGTCTCTGTTAGTGCCATGGGCAGCTTTAAATAAACCTCCCTTACTGTGGAGGCACCTGGGGGAGTGATTTGGTCCTTACATCCAAACAAGAAGCCAACCTTTCTGTAAAGCGGAATGCAGTAAAACGGGTTGTGATGCACCACATTTAGCAGCCTCCCCAATAAACCAAGCAGAAATACAGAGCTTTATTTGGGAACATCGAGATAGTGACATGTATCTACAACTGACTTCGACTAAACCATGCATTGTATCTATGTTCTACAAAGAAAAAGAGAACTAAAAAGCTATCTAGTTTTCTGATGGTAATATGAAAGGTCAGAGAAAAGGTTTTAGAGTTACGTTTTTGAGCTCATACATTTATTTATCAGAATAAACATTGTCAGGGGTGGTGGCACAGGCATGCAGTGCCAGCTATTTGGGAGGCTGAGGTGGGTGCATCCCTTGAGCCCCGGAGCTTGAGGCCAGGCTGGGCAACATAATGAGATCCTGTCTCTAAAAACAAAACAAAACAAAATAGGATATTACTAACTGCCAAGTGACTCCTTTCCTCCCTAATAATGTGTAAAGATTAGCTTCTAGTTCTGAACCTCAGATCCAAGGGATGTCACATTTGGCCAGCCCATTCGGAAAAAACAGATCTATGAAGAATGGTACTTCAAAGAGACATCAGTCAGTTGTGATCCCTCTAAACATTTTTAAATCAAACAGTGTAGAAGTTAATCTCACCTGAGTTAATTCTCTCAAATATGGATATAACCCATGTGACAAAAGAGTGATTATAATTAAGCTTCTATTACCATGAGCCTAAGACATTGACAGCCATATATCTATATATATATGTATATATATTTTACCACAAGCCTTAAGCATTCCATATGAGCTTACTTGCAGTACGTCTTGATTTGTTCTTCTCTCCCTGAAACATCTGACTACATCCATAAATCTATTTCCAGGGTTTACATTTTTCAGAAGCATTTTTTTCTACTGATGCCAAATTTACCTCTCCTTAAACTGAACAAGAAAATATCTATATATGAATTTATATCTACACATAGATATAAATTCTACCTATATATTCTGCATCTGCATCATTCTAAAATATCTGGGTACAAATCAATCTTGATTTGTACCAAAACACTATATGACTTTATATTGAACTAACTGATAATGGCTCTAAGAAATGAGTAAGTATCGACCCTTATAATTACATAAACGTTCTGTACAAACAACAAGCCCAACTTTAGTGAGTTTTGTTAGTTTCTTGTAATCTTTTCTGTGCTTTCACATTAAGTTATTGTGACCAGTCCCTTGTCTTATCTTATAAAATTGAAACGCTTCCAATAAAAGAAAAAAATCCAACAGTTTAAAAAGTTAAAGAATAGAAAGTGAACGTCACTTTCACAGAAAGTTGTAGAAAGTGAAAGTCCTACTCTTTAAAATAATAATTAAGGCTACAAATTTAAAGTTGGAAATAAAAAATATAAAAGTTAAAAATCTCATAGCAACATTAACTTCTTCTTGAAGAGAAAGCTTGGATTTTTGACTATCTGAGGATTTTGTTGCATTTTAGTCAAAACACAATCATTTGGCTTTTCTAAAACAGAACATGTGCAATGAGTAAAAATTATTTTGGAGACACTTAAAGTTAACTTCCTAATACAAATGCTCAAATTTGCAACCTTAATGTTACATAGATTCAGATTTACATAGTCAGATTATATAAACAAATCATATGAATGTTCCTCCTAGTCTACCAGGTTATCTAAAGAGCAACTTTCCTGTACCTTGTCTCTTCTTGCCTTTCAACTGACCGTAGGTGTCCCTCTGAACTCTGGCATCAGACAAGTTGATTCAAAAAGTTAATTTAGGATGCTATCAATAAAACTGCACTAAATTTAAACATATAGCATAAATTTTAGCATATAGCATACTTACATGGTAATCTATGACAAAGAAAAAATAATTTGGGGTACTTGTCAGGATCTGAGTCAATATCAGAACAGTGACGGGGCAGTGCAGTGATTTCACAGCCTTCTTCGGAATGTAAGTGATGGAGAAGGCAGGAGAGTGAGGTTAAGGGGATGGCAGATAGACAATGCTTAGTCCACTCAAGGCATTGTTGTCAGACCTGCTGGCAACCGTACTGAAGAATCATTCTCTGCTAGATATGGAAAGGATGGGAAGGCATGGGAATAAAACGGAGGACAACCCAGACAGTGAGGAAAAAATAAGACAGCGCTGCCCATCAGCCAAAGGCATCTAATACTAGAGTTGTGCGGATACGGCAAATCACACACTAGTCTCAGACATTCGTGGGAGCAACAACACCAGGAGTGTCATCTTCAAGAACCAGACACATGGTGATTGGAAGATGTAACAAAAATAGAATACGCATCAACATTCAAGATGTTCACTGTAGGTACCACATGAATTCCATTGGGCTTTAGATATCTCATTGTATTTCATGGAGTTATGTGGTATGAAATTAGAAAATCTTACTGAGCAACACCTAGGACTTATGAACTCATATGTTAAAGACAGGTAGATTTTGGAAATATTTTAATTATGTATCTAATAAGCATTAATTAAAGAAAGACACAGAACACATGATAGAATTGAATTCAATTATCAATCACCAAGAACCAAAGTTCAGCAATAAAGGCAACTTTTTCAAAGTACTATGTAAGTCATATGAGAAACTATTTGACTATAACAATTCAAGGTTTGTATTAATTTTTAGAAACATAGGAAGTTTACTTAAAACAAAGTAGAAACACTATTTTTTAACTCCATTAATTTATAACTTCTGATTATTTTGATAGATGGTTAAGGGTTGCTTTATTTCATAAATTTAAAAATAGCATTTTTTTTAAAAAGGGAACTAATATAAATTAGATTATTGAAAACATCTTGAACTTAGATAAGATAACATGAGTTTCAGGCACAATTAAAAATATCTCTCTGTGTGCACACATCTCAATAAAAAATAAGAATTTATGCAGAAACCTGTTACTTGAAAAGTGGCACATTAAATAGAAAAGTTAGAAAAAATGAAATGAATTCCATACTTATTAATAATTGATTTTAAAAGGAGTAAAAGCCTAAATTTTAAAACTCAATGTTTTCATTATATTGGTTTTAACTAGATCTGTTTTAAAGTCGTGCATTAGAGGTTACTGCTCTTTAAATTAACAGAAGTGATAGATGTTTAATTTCAATTCCTATCTAGGGGTGTCTATATCTCCAAGAAAAAAGAACAAGTGACAGGCAGGTCTCTGCAGGACATATCACAGGAATACTGGAACAACTGACAATCCTTTTCTATTACTTAAAATTGATCCTCAAAGATCGGGTCCCCTTTTACTTAGTATAAAAAGATACACATTCTAAAATACATAAAGCCATATTCTTTTAAACTAGTTTGTAACCCAAATTTTTCATTAATCCTATATGTCTTCTGCCCTCTTTAATTACCCTCAAATCATTCCAATTGTATTTTCTCATTTTTGGTCCTAAACTGGGAAGATCAAACTAAAAAGCATTTTCTAAGTGATATATCTGAAATTCCTGGCATAGGCTAATGAAAATAAGATTGACTTACCCACAAATTTCATATAAACTAGTCCAAGTAATTGTGCTAGAGCTAAGATACTCAAACCTGAAATCAGAAGAGGGCCATGCATTGGTATACACGCTGTAAAAACAAATAAAATTCTGTATTAGAAATGCATATGAAATAACTCATTTAAAAAAACAACAGTAATAATCTCAAGTTTTAAAAGAGTAATTATTCTAATGATCAAAACCCACAAATCATCCATATTTGTTTATTATTAACTTAGCCAGTAAAATGATTACAAATTATCATAAGAACAAAGCCCTCCTTTGTATAGCACATACCTTAACATATCAAGAAATGAGGACTAGTGTTTCAAGTCTAAGGCTCCAACCAGTTGGGGCCCAGTTATTTTAAGAGTTCCTCCAGAAATACAAGCCTATCAGATTGGGTGCTAGAACAATCAGCCACCAAGCCACATATACAGTCAATATCCTTGTAGCAAGGAGTAAAGCACTATTCACACTGGGGTAAACTGGAAGTTTAAAAAGAATAGCTCAGAATACTAAATGCTGTCAAGTATATGAATAAACAAAAACTCTCATTTATTGGTGGTGATAATGCAAAATGGTACAGCCATTTTGATACAGGGAGTTTGGCAGTGTATTACAAAATTAAACATACTTTTAACATACAATCCAGCAACTGCTCTCCTTGGTATCTGCCCAAATGGAATTGAAAACTTATGTCCACACAAAAATAGGTATGTGAATGTACTTTCCATTCAATTTTGCCATGCACTAAAAACTGCACACACAAAAAAATCAAGTCTATATATTTTTTAAAAGAGAGAAAGAAAAAGACAAAGGAAGAAGAGCTCTGTCCAAGAGTAACCCATAGTAGGTCTACAGAAAGGTGACTCTTACCCGCAATACAGAGACTCAGTCCAACCACAGCAAGGACATAGGCTATCACCTGAATAACCAATATGGCAATGACGAAGGAGGTTAATCCAAAGGCTGGAAGAAGGAAAAGGATGTAACAGAAGTGTGTTGAGCTTATTTAAGAAACAATCACTTCCACCTGCATTTGGCATAATCAGGGATCTCCTAAGACCAAAGACTGACTCTGGAGTTCACAGTTTGATGGTAGGTATTAGTTCAGTGATCTAACCCTTCCACACGACTAGTCAGCTCCAAATTCACACATTCAGCAGCCTTTAATTTTCACAGTCAGCTAAGCTGGACTCGCAGTTTTTATCCTAAATCTTAGAACAATGCTGCTTTTACCACACTTGTGCATTTTACAGTATGAATGGCTATTATGAATGGCTTCTCCACATGCACACAGAATTGCTCTTGTTGAGAGAATCATTATGCAAATATGTGACTGGAAACATCTTACTCTCTATCTTGTACATCTCTAGATCTGTCATTTCATAACAAACTAATACCTTTCCAATGTACAATAAGCCAGGGATAGGCTCTAAGACCAAGTGTTAAATGTGACTCTTTAATAATAATAACTAAATATGGTAGTGATCTACTTTCAAAATGCAATGAAAATGATACTGACTATAGTTTGGATACCCATACCATCTTTTAAAACTACACTGTTAAGGTTTGCCAATAATAAAAACAAATATGGGGAGCCGCAGTGGCTCAGGCCAGTTTTCCTGGTGCCGGAAGAGGCAAGGTTATGTGTTCGAGGCCAGCCTGGGCAACATAAGAACCTCTAACTCATTAAAAATAAAAATAAAAACAAATATGTTTCTACTATCTATGATTCATAATTCCATTTCATAGAACCAGTCTTAATGAAGAAGCAGAAGCTTAGCAAAAGAAGAGAAAGACTGTGTTTAACAGCTACTTTTAACTTCAAAAAACTGAAATGAGAATATAAAAATAATCATTAAGAAATTATATGGCATAATTTAAAATTATGCTGATTGGCATTAAATACATATGAAATAACTTTTTACAAAATAGCTGACGTAGAATAACCTTAAAATTAACATGAATGGGAAAATGTCACTAAGAATAACATGAAAAATCTTTTAATAAACCAACTTTTATTGAATTGTAAAAAAACTATGAGTATTTTCACCAAAACTGCTGTTTTTTTCAATGAAAAAAGTAGGCAAAATCATACTGTAACAACAAATACTCACCTGTACTAAACACATAGTAGTGAAGTAATATTAATATCCCTGTAGAAGTCACAATTAAACCAAGTCCAGTAGCATTCTTTAATGAATATTCACCTGTTAATAAATCAAAACATTTAAAATATTTTCTTACATACTTCCTAATCTTTAGGAAGTTAAATTTAATTTTTTAAATGTACGAATCTAAATTCTACTCCTAACAACTGTGAAAGTTTTAAAAATACACATATCCCCGAAAACCTCGCAATAATCAAAAAATTAGTGACTATTTTTTGATTATTTACGACCAAACATAAGACATCTAAATTTCAACACTGAAATTTCAACATGCTGAAACCTTGAGTTGGCTCTGCCTCCTCCTGAACTAGCTTACAGAATTCCAGACGAGAAATTGTGTATTCACCTTTTACCATTCCCTTCATTCGCTGTATTCAGTATGTCCCAAAGTCAAATCAATTGGTCTTTTAAGTTGCCTTCTGAATCCACCTCCTTCCTCCCGCTGTCCTCACTAACTTCAGATACAAAGAGAGCTGCCAAGCCCACGTTCCTAAACATTACACCTGTATTACATTCTTCTCCAGAAACGATGGCGTGCTATCGTTATCAGGCTGAGTCCCAGCCTTCCTTTATATGTGCTCCATATCCTCATTTGCCACTCACATTCCCATCTCCCAAGAGCAACTGCCAATTTCCACAGACTTGATTCCCACAGTCACTTCACTTTCACGTCTTGGCCAGTGAAGTCTGCCTCTGTAGTGAGTTGAATGATAACCCTAAAGTTATTTCTACCTCCTAATCCCTAAAACCTGTGACTATTACCTAAGGCAGCAAAAGATATGATGAAGTTAAGAATCTGAAGGGAGGAGCTTACTCTGGATTATAGGGGTGGGCTCTAATTCCAAAGATAATGTCCTCCTAAGAGAGAGGCTGAGAGAGATTTAACAAAAATAACACAGGCAAAGACACACAGGAAGGAGGAGGCAATGTGGCCAGATAAGCAGAGGGTGGAGTTATGCTACCACAAACTAAGGAATGATAAGCACTGTCATTCTTTAGCAAATTCTAGAAGCTAGAAGAGGCAAGAAATTGATTTTTCCCTAGAGCCCTGAGAGGAAGTGTGACCCTGATGACATCCTGATTTCAGACCTACAGCCTCCAGAGTGGTGAGGAAATTTCTATCGTTGTAAGCCACCCAGTTTGTGGTCATCTGTTCCAACAGCACTAGGAAACTAGTGCATCCCTCCTCACCAGGGAACACACTCATCCACCTCCTGTGTTCCGGCCTAGGAACGGAACATCTTACCTGGGACGAAAAGAATGGCTCCAACAATGACAATGACAGTGATCGTCAGTCCAGCAACAAGCAAAGCGATCGTTTTCTCATCCATACCACCAGATCTATATTTAAGTGCTTAAAACAGAAAAAACAAAGAATTACATAAACTCAATCACAAGTGAAGCCATTTTAATAACTTGTAAGGTACACAGACAAACTGACTAAAGTACTATAATGTGATAACTTCTGAGGAACGACTCCTTCGTATCGCCAAGTCAGCCCACATCTCTCTCACAAGCAAATAGACAGTTTCATGGCAGTATAAATATGGATGGTAAATTTGTAGGTGACGTCTTATTTTCCTATGCTAACAAATGAGGTCCTATACATCAGTCTTTTTCATTGATGTATTACTAATATCTCAAATGAGATCAATCTTTTGGGGGAGGGGGACACTTTTCTGTGCAATATAGAATGTTCCTTGGCCTCTACGTACTACATGCTAGTAACTAGATGCCAGTTACGTCAAACAAACTGTCTTCGGATATTGCCAACACCCCCTGAGGAGTAAAATCACTCCAGACTGACAAGGCAACACTGATGTACACAATACTAATGGGAAATAATGGGTTAATTAACAGTATTGAGAATAAGAGAATTTTGTTCCACCTTATATAAAATAAGTAAACCATCTGGAAGTCTAGTTATTTTGTTTGGAAAAAAAAATGACAGAATAAACACTGAGCAAATTACACCCTTGTGAAATACTGACGAAGAAAAAAGCTTAAGTTGTTCAACTAAAACATTTTAACAAAAATAAACTGTAAAGACGCGACAGGATTCATCATGCATGTTATTGTTTCTGCTGCTAGCTCTACTGTCAAGTATCTCATACCACCTCTGAAAGAAGAATAGAATGGATCAAGCTGCAAATATTAGTTCTTTTATTATATATGGATCTTTTAAATTTTGGTTAATATCGAAATTGATTTTTTCACCAGGAAAGTTGTTTAAGGTAACCTAAAAGAAAACTGAGTAGCAGAAAGAAACAGCATGTGACTGAAAAGCTGCTGTGTGTCATCCACATAGAGATATTCTCCATGCCAGTAATCAATGGTGACTGTCATGAAAGGAAAAATACTTTAAATGTTATATTTAGCATTCAGTTTTTATCTTCTACAATGACAAACATTAAATAAAGTAAAAACAATAAATAAGCCCCTCAATGATCATGATTAAAAATCTTTGTTTAAGGTTTATGACAGGTACCTAAAGATTTTTGGAATTTCTACCTACCCATACTTTAGATTATAACCTCAATTTTAGTCTCTTTATGGGGAGATGAGACCTAAGCAACAAATAACCAACTTATTAATGTGGACTTCAGTTACTCAGTTGAAAAGAAGAGAAATCCACATTAATCAGAAAACATTCTATGGCAATTTCCCCAAGTTTTTATTTGATCTGTCACTTCCGCGCAGCCCTGGGACTTAGGTGTATAATACTCAGTCATATCCCTGCCTTCTTCTAAGGCACAGAGTTTTCATAGCTTCCCTATTTTCTAGGCTCAAATGCTGACTAGAAGGAAACTGAGTGTATAGGTCATGAAAGGCACATACACAGAAAAAGAAATTTTCTTTAGACATATGTCTTATTTTCCATTTTAATCCCATATGTAGTTATCTAAATAGAGCTTGAAAATTCTACAAAGGGTTATAAAATGGAAGCTGTTTCAAAAGCACCTCACAATCAATCAAACATTCATAAGAAATTCTTTCAGGTTTAATTCAATGCATAAAAGAGCTACTAAGGGCCAGGCATGGTGGCTCATGCCTGTAATCCCAGCACTTTGGCAGGTTGAGGTGGGCGGATCACCTTAGGTCAGGAGTTTGAGACCAGCCTGCCTAACATGGTGGAAACCTGTTTCTACTAAAAATACAATAAATTAGTCAGGCGTGGTGGCACACACCTATCATCCAAGCTACTCAGGAGGCTGAGGCAGAAGAATCACTTGAAGCTGGGAAATGGAGGTTGCAGTGAGCCAAGATTGTGCCATTGCACTCCAGCTTCGGCAACGAGAGTGAAATTCCATCTCAAAAAAAAAAAAAGGCTACTAAGAACAAACAAAAATTTGCCTTAGAGTACAGTATAATTTCATGCAAAAAGACTGACTTATGTGCTTCTTTTTTTTTTTTTTTTTTTTTTTTTTCTTGAGACAGAGTCTTGCTCTGTCACCCAAGCCGGGGTGCAGTGGCACTATCTGGGCTCATTCACTGCCAGCTCCGCCTCCCAGGTCAGGTGATTCTCCTGCCTCAGCCCCCTGAGTAGCTGAGACTACAGGCAGGTGCCACCACGCCTGGGTAATTTTCGTATTTTTTTTTTTAGTGGAGCCAGTGTGTTTCACCATGTTAGCCAGGCTGATCTCAAACTCCTGACCTTGTGATCTGCCTGCCTTCGCCTACCAAAGTGCTAGGATTACAGGTGTGAGCCACTGCACCCAGCGACTTATATCCTTCTTAACAAAAACAAGAGTTTGAATATCACATAAAATTGTACCTCTTTAGGCTTAGAAGAGCTGTTATAGGAGAAAATATTGCAAATAATAGCAACAAAAAATAAAACATCACAAAATACTACCATAGACAGGGTTCCACCATAAAATGGTGTGTCTCCCCTTGAGTATAAGTACACTATATATTAGAATTAGCTTTAGTTCCTGTGGATGAGTTCAACTACTACTTATTTTCAAGGCCACTTTAAACTTTTCCTTAAATTAAGCAGCCATTTCCAACAAATATACATGTTGAAGATCCCAAGTCTGAAAAAAATCTGAAATCCAAACACTTATGGTCCCAGGCATTTTGGATAATGGACACTCTACCTGTCTCTGTGGGATCTACTTAAATAACCACAGGCAATGAAAGAGTTTCTCCAGGCTTTCTTCAGTGAATCTTCAGAAAGAGTTTCTTTTGGCTCATTTTCTTTGCTCACATAGCCACATTTCAGCAGATACCATGGCAAGTGTGGGGTAGGTATCTCGTTGCTAACCCAGTCATCAAATTTCTCAGTGTAGCGAAAGGGCAAGGAATTTGATATAGATGCCGTAAAACCCAATAACCTCAAGGACCTTTTATTGATCTCTTCTTGTCCTTCAATAAGTGAATTTATCCTTATATATTGAATTTATCAAAACATTAAATGCAACAAAGAAAATAAATTCAAGTAATTCTCCACTTAGCATTAAGATAAAAATAATAAAAATAACTTAATGTGTCCTTAATAGCAGGCTCTTATCAAATTTCCTAGTATGACTTTCAGACTGCTAGGCAAGGCAATCTATGTAATTTTAAAAATCTGCATGCTTTTAAGGATTCTCCTCAGCTACAACTACTGAAATCAATATGCAAGATAAAGTACATGAGAAATAATAATATTTACATGCTTAACAAAAACTTCTAACTTTAGTGCTCAGCCTGACACAGGAATACCAATTATCAGGGGAGACAATATAACATTTTTGTGAACAAATTAGATATTCCAAAATTTTCTTTTATATGTTCTATAAAACAATTAGTAACTAAAAGCAGGTTACTTCTCAGAAATTTGTTGGGTTGGTTCATTCATTTGTTCTACAAATATTTACTGTGTACCTATAATGTACCAGACTCTTTTGTTAGTCTAAATAAAGGAACAAGTAGAAGATTACTCAATTTGACAATAATTGATTGAGCACTATCCATCTATATGACAATCATGATTCTAAACGCTGACAGTGAACACTAAATGTTTTCTGATGTTGTGACCAATATACAGCATATATAAGATAAAATGCAGATTGTAACCGATGAAATCTAATGAAATTACCAAGTCAACTTGGAGATGAAATAAAATCTATCATGTAGAGTTTCCATGATACCCCAAAGACTGGATTTGACACACTCACATAGGCCCACAGAGACTGCAGTCCATCCAACAAAACCCAAAACCCAGGAATTTAACACCTGCCCAGACATGACATTGGAGGGATGGGTAAGTAAGCAGAGAGATAGAAAGGCTTACCAGGCTGATGCGTATCAGACTAAGAATAAATCATAAGGAAAGATGTGTTTGATTTCATTATTATACTGCTATTTTCTGATAACTCTAGGAAAGTAATTTTAGAATCTTTTTGGTATCTGTTGAGCTGTAAATGAGTATTGTTTTCAGTGCAGAATAAAGCACATTTGACACTTTTACACATAAAATTACAATTTCATTTTTTAAATTATTTAAATTTAAATTACTATTTTTCAAGTATTTAATACACTTATTTAACACACACATGCACACACAAATGAAAGCTTCTGAAACTGGTACTAGAAAGAATAAAAGAACATTAATACCAATTATAAACTGATTACTTGCCAGAAGGCAAGTTAAATAATTTTATAATAAACTCCACACATGATCCAATTTGCTCTGATGAAACAATTTTGTCACAATGGATACTGACTAGACATCAGTCTACAGGACAGAGATAAAAGAGCCTGGGCTTTGTGCATCAAGTACTTTGAACATAAAAGATTAAAGGAGAGGATGTCCAACAGCCCAAACTTCCTTTTTTTCATTATCAACTTTCCCTGGCTTGTGGATGGTTTTTCAGTTTTAGAGTATATGGAGAAAGTTGCGATATCTGGATTTGGAAAGGGTCAAGGGATTTCTACAAAAGAGGAAAATGCTGAGCTATAGATTTGCTCAATTCCTCCTACAATAAAATCAGCACATAGTCACATTATTTAATAACAGAATGTGATCATTATATGGACAGGACCAAGGGAAAGCACTGGGAGTTCAAGATCATTGAACAGAATTCACAGTAAACTTAATAACAAAGTTGTATTATTAGGGGCCATCAATTAGATCACAGAATGATTCTTTGTGGTAATACTTATTGTAGTGATATTTTACTTTCTTGGATAGAAATTTCCTAGTCCAAATTAGAATATGTCTTCACTTTTTCAGATAATTTTTCTAATATAGGAAGAAATTTCCTGTTCCATATATGATTTAAATATGATTCAATGGCCTAATTGCTTTCATTATTAAGCTATCCTCAAGTCTAAACTCAAGAACTTAGTAGGATCTCAAGGTAGTGT